GACCACGCACAACTTTGCAAATTCAAATTCAGCGTTCCCGCGCTCCCGTAGGGGAAATTTTGATGGGGAAATTATTTTCTTGGGAACTATAAAAGCCGAAAAGTTGCAGTTCTGCGGTAGTGTGCCCTCCCCACATACGACGCCACAAATTTAAATTCAGTCTTCCCGCGTTTCCAAGTATCAATTTACCGTCCCGTGAAAGTTTCCGCAAGGAAAATTATTATCTCGACAACCACGAAAGTTGGGAATCTGAAATTTTAAGGCGATGCCCCTTCCCCTTCCAACAACGTACGAACCTCGTAAATCTGGACTGAGCTCTCACGCACCCCTGGGTACCACGCATGGCCCCATGAAAGCTTTTAGCAGGAAAACTGACTCATGAACTGCAAAAGCTATGAAGTCGGAATTTTAGCGTGGCATCCCTTGCCCACATGCAGCCCCGCAAATTTTCAACGTCCTCGCGGAAGTTTTGGCAAGAAAAATCATTGTCCTGAAAGCTAGAGTCAGGAGCCCGAAAATTTCAGGAGAATGTTTCTTGCCTAAGCAGGCGCTTCACAAGTTCGAATTTTCTTCAGTATGCCGAGGTCTCACTACGGCCACGTAAAAGTTTTGTCTCAAAGATCATTTGATAGCTAGAAAATTACGAAATTGAAATTTTGAAAGGATATTCACCCTTCGAGGTTTCAAATTCAGCTTTCCTGTGTCGATGCGTGAAATTTTTAACTATTTTTCAATGTCTCAACTATTTTTGCGCAAACTAAAGTACGAAGCAATGAAAATCATTAACGGGCAACAGTTCGGTGGAAAAAATTGCACAAAACGCATGATCGCACCAGCTATTCTGATACACGCTGCTATTTATTTTTTGTAGTATTTTGCTTTCTCTTCCTCTACTTTTGTCTGCAGTTTTTGCGTCAAGCTTCTGACTTTATTCGTTTCCTTTCCTTACTCTTTCCTCAAATCCTGACTGCAAAACAGCACATGAGCTCCTCTCCATCCCCACTGTAAAAACACTGTGCTAGCAAGCAGTATTTCACCTTTCCCCTATCCCAGATATCCACAGCAAAAATCAAGAACACACTTCCTCATAATTTCCACCTATCACCCCTCCCCTTCTCCCGTCCAAATTGCACATGACCGAGCCAACCGACGAAGGATCTACAGCATTTAATCACTAAATCCATCTATCCCGCCCGCCCCCTCCCCCCTCTCCTGCCTCGAACGAAATCCATATCACCTTTCTCCCATCTGCCACATTCAAACTCCCGCCATCCGCTGTGAAGCAGTTCTACCAGCCGTCGGCAAAAAAAATTTTTTGCACATCGTGTACGACGCCGGCCAAGCCGAGCCGAGTTTTTATGGGGTTTTTGCAGCTATGCAGTGCGGAAAACGCATACTGACGAGAGCTTGTCTGTGTGTACGCAGGGCCTCTGTGCCGATTTTTCATCTCGAGTCCTACAAAAGCTACAGGGCTGAAACTTTGGGAACTTAATCTACATGCATGTACGGGCCCCAATCCCCAAGATGGGCGGTATTACCGCGTGGGACCCACGTACGGGCCCCTGAAAGTTTTTTGTGAGTAAGCTGCTAACTGGTGAATCAGGAAAGCTAGAAAGCTGAAATTTTAAAAGGATGTTCCCCTTTCACGTATGTCTCAATGAGCTCAAAC